GGGGAGCTTTTAGTTTTTGGATACCAAACTGGAAAATTAAGGACTTATACGTTTTCTTTACTTTAGACCTGAGGGTGAGGGGCCCTAGTGCCTAGACTGCTAAGTAAACTTACAGATCCGCCACTGTCGCGTGCTGCTTATAATCAATACACTACAATTGTATATGACGAAGCACCATGTATGCATGACTGTCGTGACACCTGTTCGTTACATTAAGCGGGGAACAATTAACGTACTTGTTTACATGTATATATTATATAAAATGTCAGAAATGAGGGTAATGCACATTTCATCACGCTTTTACATGTATATATATATATATATATACACTTAACATTGATATGTTATATATTTACTACATGTATATGGTGCACAAGACTAAATATATGTACGAAATATACATATATACAAATGAAAATGTATGTGATATTAATGTATATTGAAATTCACTCAAGATCTTATCAATCAAACGTGCCCTTTTTGTTTGATGCATGAACCTGGCGAATCAACATTTTTTAGGGGTAAAAACATACGCAAATTTTCCACGTGGCCCTTATTGTGCATTTTACATGTCTCTTTTCCTACCCTCCCCCTTTTCATCAGCACTCCCCCACATGCCTTCTCTTAAAAGGGCCAGAAACGCCCCACTATTGCTGCACATATGCATTGAATTTAAAGAAGCAATTTGAATGATGGTCGGAATCGTTTGAGGCGACTAATGTTAGTACTTCAGAATCGAGAGAGGTGGGGTTGAGGTGGGGGTTGAGGTAGGGTGTAGGGGAAAGAGTAATATTACAACTTCAGCTGTAACCTTAATGTTTACGCGGACACGTCTAGAGACAATCTTTTAAGTTTTGAATTAAAATGATTGAATATTTTGTAAAAATATCGAAATGTAATTAGTTGTAGGATCTGTGAATATTTGCGTTTACAATCATTTATCATAAGACAAATTACCATACATTCAAATATCTGGATTGACTATTATTTTCATTTTTTTAGAATGAAATATATATGCTAGTATCCGGTTTTGGTACGCTTTGTGGTTAAGTAGGCCTATATGCTTTATAGATTGTTGTGGTCCCTCGCTCACTCTTGCCTTTGCCCTCCCATTACCGGTAACACTGACTGCATGTGGTTGAAAAGTTTTATCTAAATTTTTATAAGATTAACTTGCTTCTTAAACTTCGTTTCAAACATTGATTTGTGTGTTATTTTAAAGTGCATAATATAAATTGTAAATAAAACTTTCAGAACAACCATGGGTGTTCACTTTTAGCTTGACTTGAACTTTTTAACCAACTTTTTAATTGAAACTTCCTTGTGCCAATCCTGCCGTCGGCATATTAATATTCATTAAAATTACGATCAATAAAGGGTGGCGCTTAGCAACAGTACAATGCACTTACCAAATGGAAATTGAAATCCATTTATAACTGACAAAAGTGTATAGATGACCCGTCTGTCCGTTAATGAAGACATATTCTGAAAGACGTTACCAGCGGCCATTTTATTTTGCGCAAGATAAGATTTATAAGTACAAACTCATATTGAGATATGTCTATACAACAACGCCATGATTTTATAAATGAAAGTTGTTGATAAACGTGTTTCAGCTAGAGGTGTAGCGTATGGCAAGTACATTCAATATATATTCAAGGAGAAACATCGATCCCGAATTTTTTAAAATAAAGATATCTTATAAAATGTATGAGCTATCTTATATAATATATAGAGGATATTTAATGGTGTCTTCAGTAATAACAAATATATTTCACGAGTATGGCTAATATTTTGATATTTTTCACGAGTGTGAAAGATATCAGTTTTATCAAGTTGATAGAATCCGATATTTCACTGGCAAAAATGTAATAAATAATATCTCTTATATACTATACATATATAACATATCTCC